TTACTAATATATGTTTCTTTTCACTTGCAAACATTTTATGTATTCTAGTCCGGTTTTGTATAATTGAGTGATCACTGTGCAGCCGCCAAAGACCACAATGGATACAACAAACAGCCGATTTATAATAATTATTGTCCGATCGTTTGTAAGTTATCGGTTGACAATTTTTCTAAATTAAAACAAAAGACTCAAGTCATAAACATCGAAATATTTAGTCCACATTGAACAGTGGACTAAGCCGCTGTGAAAGTACAAAATTCGGTGTTGGCTGTAGAAGTCGCATTTGTAACTATATAATTGTATTGTAGATATATGAATATGTCCTTTCGGCGAAGTGATCTCTAATCGTTTGGCATTGTAAGTAGGCGATAGTTTATTTCTGTTTGATGAGATTGTATTCGCTGAAGTTTTCATTTTATTAGTATTTTTCGAATCCGTCTATAAAATGTTTGAATCGTCGATATACTAAAAATATCTAATTATTTTTCAAAATTATAAACGAGAAAAAAAAAGAATCAATATATGTAGGATATATTTGGTTTCACGTTCGGGTATTATGGTTCCTAAATTTTTCGAAATTGTAATAGACTCTATTGTATTGTAGTATTTCGTTTTGGAATTTAGAAAACAATTTAGATGTACCAATATAGTTGTATCGACTTTTCTATATGTGAGAAAAAAAAATCAAATAAGTGAAATGCTGAAAAATTAGTTAGTTACAAGATAAGTACCGTTCGTTAATGATATTTGATAATTGGAATATCGAATGTGAGCACGGATTTACTATTAGAAAGTCGTAACGAATACTGCCGACGCTGTAACTAATGTTAAGTACCGAGGCCGCGTCGCACTGCGCCGTGCGCGGACATATTGTATTCCATACAAACCTGTAGCGGATAAAAGAATATTTTCAATATCCTTGTGGTCTTCACTCGTAACAGCGATATGCGTTCATTTTGTATTCTTGTGTGTTTATACGTTAAGATGTGTTATGTTGTTTTAGTTTTGGGCAAATCGCAGGCCTCTGTGGTGCCAGTTCGTATAATGTATTTGTAAATTACAGCGAGCGGACGCGGTCGCCGGTGATAAAAATTATTAAGCAAAATTTAAAATTCAAAATTACATTTTATAAGCGACCATTCCTCCTGTCCGGGCCGTGGGGCGAATTGACCACGTGTCCTTCGCGGGGGGAAGAGAGGTCGACGATTGAAATTGAATAAAATTTAGTATTTAGGCGTTCCTTTCGATATCCTCGCATTTCGGCTAAGTAATTAGGGCCCGCGTCCGCTTGTTTCGATATATTTAGTACAAATTTCATGATGTTAAGGTTACGAGGCTCAAAGCTTTTCTTTGGAGGCGCCCGCACCACCGCCCCTGTCAGCGCCGATGATATAAATGAGTCTTGTAAAAATTTTATTCAAAAGAGTATTTTTGTATTGAATATTTCTAAAAGTTGGTGTAAAGATCAAAATTTCATAAATTATAGCGATGAAGAGAATGAGCATTAGGTAATTTTAGGATGTCATGCGTTTTTTGTATTTAATTTTAAGAATAGTATTGGATATTAAACGTTTAGGAGCATTAACCATTTGTAAATAAAAAGTTTACCGGGGCTGACACGGGGCGGCGCTGTGGTCGACCGGTTATATAGATAAAAAAAATATTATAAATGACTAAAAGATGTTTATATGGTTCTGGATGTAAAAAGATAAATTTAAAGGCAATTTTAAGGTGAAAAGTGGGAAAATTAATGTAAACGATTCCTCGGTATTTGTCTAAGAATGGCTGAGCGTAGCACTATTGTAATCTGTGGGCCTCAGGCAAACGATACCTTATGTCACCAAAACTAACCTAACCTAACTACGCATTAATTATTACTGTTCTTAATTCTAGAACAATACTTATACATTTAATATATCACATTGTCATAATGCTTATTATTTACGAGCGTGTGTCTTTGTCCGTGAATGTTTAGAATCTAACCACTGTTCGATGTATTAGAAATAAAGTGGGTTTCTTGTGAAATTATTAAGAATAATCTTGTAACAAAATTTAAAGTAAATGCCGTTTGAACGGACGGTTGTAAGACGTTCAAACATCGGCATACAATTGGCGATTCTAAAATCTGTTAACAAATCAAAATTTAAATCGAACACTGAACTACGGTGAAACATGAGGTGTAACTGAGTACTATGAAGGTCAGCACGGAGAGTTGTTGATAGCATGGCAGAGGGATGTTTCTTCGTGGATATAACGAGTAATAAAGCTAAGCTTTTATTTGATTATGGTGTTTTATTTTATATTTACCTCATCCTATTCACATATACTAATATTATAAATACGAAGGTTTAGATGGATGGATGTTTGTTAGAGTTTGTAGCCTAAATGGCTGAACGGATTTCGAGGAAATTTGACATAGATGTAGAGGATAATATGGAAGAACACAGAGGCTACGCACTTTTGTTTATTTTTTATTCCACGCGGACGAAGTCGCGGGCAAAAGCAAGTAATTTGTAATCTGTATTCAAAACATTAAAATACTAACAATACCAACGTTTTCGATAGTAGTATATTCAAAACAACGTATTACGTTTGAAGTAAAGCTCGAAATATTTGTAATTAAAGAAAATGTAATACACTTTAGCACTAAGCGTTAATCACAAATTACTTGCGGAAAACATTACCGTCCGTATAGTGTCGTTCAATAAGGGTTCCGAGTTCAAGTTCCCATATACTACACTACTCTGGCATATAACTATGTAAATAAATAAATAATGATTTAGGGCCTGTCCCACCACTGTCTGATAGAGTCTCCGATACCTTTAAAAATGACGTCACTGTCAGATAAGGGTAAAGGATTACCATAGATAATTCCATTACATATTTTACAGGTTTGATTGTTATCAGACAATTTACAATTTGGTAGGACTGGCACTATCATAATCACTTATTGCCTTATGTAGAGTGCAAACGCTTAGATAATTATGTAGCAGATTTTTGTAAATGTAATTAATTCCCTGTTAAACTGATATGAGATATTTTACCTCATATTCGACTTGGGTGTCCCAAAAATATTGCTCCTTTGTAGAGGTTTACGTATGGTGGAAATACAAAACTGGTTGTAAAGTTCCTCCTTCACTATGTTCTACAGCCACGCGGGAATAACTCCCAAAATAGCTACTTCGTCTTCCTTATCACTAAGCGCTATTGCAACAAGACGCTTATAAACTACCTACTTGAGCGATACAAAAAGATTTTCCCGCTTTTCTTTCTATAAAATATGTGTCCGCGAAATCAAAAACATGGTATAACCCAAAAAAATATTATTAGACATATCCCGAACACGGTTATTTATCAAAATTAATTTCCAATAGCTTTTTTATAAATGCGACATCTACCGACAATTACAATCATTGTTAGAACTGTTTTATCTAAATTTAACCAAGTTGTTAGTTTGTGCTAATAGATGGCGGTAAAGTCAAAATTATATTAAAAAGACAAAGGCTACAAAAATGTAATGTGTTAGCCAAACCAAATTTTATACATGTGTTATATCTTTAAACATAAACTCCTGAATAAAAAAGCATAACATAAAAACTTTTCAATAACCCTAAAAAGCAGATTAGCAAATTGACGATACTAAATTTATTATTAATAAGCCAAATCAAAGGTGTCAAACACTCATTTCATTCATTTACGCTCCTTAACTTTGTAAAGGTTCTAGTCGATTACCCATTAAAACTCAAATGATCTAAGCAGATAACAAGGAAATTGGGTAATGAACTGAATAGCTTACGACGCCAATCACACTCGCTTGAGTGTTCTCAAGAATTCATTCAAACAAAGGAATCAGCTTGAAAGGTGCTGTTCTAAGCTTTAAGAGAACGATTAGGGGCAATTTGAATATTGGCAGAATGCAAAGGGACCACGATTGCCTGATTACAAAGAGGACTTGAATAAAATTAGCATTGCAATTTACTTGGGAATCACACTCTGTACTAAGTTTTTTTTAATGCTGTAGATAATAAATAATTTGTAATTACACAAATATCTATCTGTAAATGTATATTTTTAGCGTAAAATAAGGAATATAAAAGTAAATATGCTTTAGAACAAATTTTTATTTTAACTAGGTACCAAGTTGTGGCTGGTTACAAGCAACATGGTTTTGTTTAAAATTATTGTGTATTTTTAAACAGTCTCATTTAACTTATTTGTTTATTTGGGTTGAATCTAGTAATTGAAATAAAATCCATTACATTTCAATTTTAATCTATTTACTAAACAATACAATATTAAATTTAAAAAAATGTTTAATGTTTCTACAGAAAATTTTAAGATATTTTTACAATTTTTACAGAAAAATGTAATACAAAAGCAACAGAAAGAAATTTACAAACATTTTTAAAACAATATTCTATTTTTCACATGTATAGAAACATAACATTCATATAAATATTGTAAATAGTTAGATAATACAATTACATATTTAAACTACACGATTTTTCTTGCACCATTAAAATAAGACAAACATCATCCAAAAATTATTATCCATAATGATCTTAGAGTCGCAGTGTCAAGAAGTTGAAGTTAAATTGACTACTGAAGTGCGAAAGAACTTGGCACTTTAAGAAGAATAGTTATTGATAGACTGATATTTTTCAGTATATTTTATGGTGGCAAAGAGCAAGCTGTATTCACTATAAAAACAATGGCTATGGTTTAAGTACATTTTAAACTACTGAAAATGAAATATCTATACTATTATAATAAGGGTAAACACACACTTCTTTGTTGCCTAAGATGTCAGCAATTACAGCATATTTTTGAATAATTCTTTTCTTAATAAAAACCCCACACTTACATTACGCTTTAGGCTATATATTTTGACGATATTAAACTTAGGGGGTAAATATTTTGGATAAAAACCCTAACGTGGGAAAGAAACCGTAAGTTGCTGCCAACATCAAGGAAGCAAGATTGCCAAGATTTGTTTTTGATAATTGACAAATGTGAACAATAAAATAAAAATTTCATGCGGATGAAGCCGCACGGGAACAGCTAGTATTACATAAAATCCTATGCATTATTGTTGTTTAGGAGCTTGGAATATGAGGTAGGCAAAATGGAACCAAATTTTAGGAAGTTACTGCCCTCTTAGACAAATTAACTTACAATTAGCTATATTATTAGTAGAATCAACAGAATGTGACAAAAATCACAGAAATGAATAAGTATTCATTGTGTCATGTGACCAGCACATGATTTATCAAAAGTAATTGTCAGTTCCATACATCTTTGACTTTTGGATGAGCTACAGCCATAATCAAATGTTACTTTGTCTAAATGAGCAGATACCTTGTAATAATGCTACAAGGTTACCCCAGACATATATGTATACAGCTATGCCCTTTCAATCAACCCCCAATACTAGATTCTCAGAATTTATTAAAAATTATGCATTGTTTTTGAAAAAATGACACACTAATGTACACAATCTAACCTATTACTTTTTCACTTAATTAATTAAAGGATAATCTACAACATTTAGGTTTTAACATCACTTTTCATATTTGTTAACTGCCCGATGCCAAATAACATTAATTTTATATGTGCCTTGGTCATATAAATTTTCTTTTTAATTTCTTCAGCTTTATCTTCATACACCTTTATTCTTGCATCTAAATAGGTATTTGCTTCATTGGCTGTAAATTCTAAATAATGTTTTAAACCAATATGCATTAATAATTTGGATGTATCAGGAACTGAAGCCTCCATGAAAAAATTGCAACCAATGTTTAATTTCGTTTTGAAACCATCCGGATGAAGCTTCTGGTCGGTTATCACTTTTAATGTATGTTTTTCTTGAATTAATGCTGTTATTTCCTCATTTATTTTATGTAACTGTTGATCCTGAACACGAAGACTTTCTTTTAAAACGTTATTGATGAAGTTTTCGTATCTAACAATAGCGGTATCAACATTTGGTAGAGACATACTTAACAAATGGAAAAATCAATTGGTATTTAGAACCTATCGTAAGAAGAAATAAGTGTGATTTAATATATTATTCAAGTAAAAAATTGTAAAAAGCTAAAAACATCGCGTCTATTATTTCGAAAATACTAAAAGAAAATGTCAATGTCATTGTCATTCACATCAAGATAAAATGTCTATTGTCAACGAATGTTAACATTTCGTTTTTGGTTATCCAAAATACCTAGGTATAGTGAAAATTACCACATTATGAGTATGGTTTCCATTGAAATTACCTTTTTTAAAATTTAAGAATGTCTATTATGGATTTTGTGAATTTTAATAATAAAAAATTGCCTGTACGACGCCATCTAACGTTAAAGGTTTATACTAGAAGAAGAAACATGTGGGAGTTTTTTATTCGGTCCGTACTGACTAGATGGCGTAAGATGCTTAAATTTTTGGTCATAATTTTTTTTAGTAATAATTAGATTGATATCCTGACCAAAAAGGTAAAAACTAAAAACGGGAAAAAGACGTCGATTTAGCCGACACGAAACCAGAATTTTTATATTTCATGGCGCGTGTACTTCTTTATTAGATTTCGGGACGTTTACTCACATAACAGGGTGTTTAGTCTTAATTTATTCAGTTTATTACCAGACCTTTCTCAAGGAACGCTACACTGAGCAATATTTAAACTGTTTTTATGATGATAATTTATTTTGCGGACAGGAAAGAAGCAATGGGATGTTTATTTCTTCGTTTTCTGGTTATTTTAGTAGTAAAATAATACAACAGTAGTCAATGAAATTCTTTATTTTGACAATAGTTAATAAATCCTTAATGTCACATTCCCGCCTAATTTGCTGCGGAAATTTTAATCGTTTATAATCAATGAAGTAAAAATCTTTACAAGCTTAAAAAAACAATTACAACTTTTTATTTTGATTGCTTTAATTGCTTTAGAGTATGAAGTATCGATCTGTTTTAAATCTCACTTTAGTTGTTTCAATTGATTCACATATGACTTATTTTTTTATTCATACGCGTTTTTATAAATTTTATAAATCAAACATTTTAAATACATATATATTTTAATGAAAATGATTACACATGACATACACAGCGTAGCCAAAAGCTGAATTTAACAAAGTGAAAAACATAATACGATTTACGTGTAATGGAATAACAAATCAATAAAAAAAAAAACGATTAAACCAATTCAGGATTTTTGCACTCTATTACAATTAAAGCAAAGAATTAATTCCGAATGCAACATTTAAGCACAAACTAAACAAGACTTTACGAGAGACCTAAGTGTTACAGATAAATGGACATATATTTTATTAGACAGTACTTTTTTAATTCATACAATTGTTAAAAGTTTGATGTTTAATATTCGTTATTTAAAATGTATTATATTACAAATCTGTACTAAATCTGTACTCATTTATGATTGAACTAAGAATTTAAAAATCTAAGCCTGGGGCTCTTCAATTGGCTTTTCTTTGTAACTTTCTAATGTGCGTTAAGGAAATAGTTCCATATTTTTTCCACTATAACGAGCGTTTTTATATTCTTTGTCTGTCTATCGATTTATTAATTATATATAAGTATATCCGTAACACATAGGTAAATCTACTAAAAAGATATCATTCCTCTATGGTTTATTACGTTTCAGTGCAATTTTATCAACATTTGCATGACCCAGTAAACCTTTATTTGTAACATAAGAGATAAATTAAAACTAACTTAACATTTAATTTACATTACAATTTGTTAGCTCTAGTGAATGTGATGTTTCGTCGCTTAAAGTTATGTGCTGTTTCTGACTTAATTGCTATTATAGACAGACAAACATATTTGACCCAATGCATTATAGCATAGTAATGCCCCTGACAATGTGCCACAAGATCATGTCGGACTGTAGCTGTCTTCTTAAATGTTGTCTTGTGTGCCATTTTCTATACCTAAGAAATTTCAACATATTTACTTATAGAAATAACAGGGCTTCTCTTACCGGCCCAGATAAGTTTGTCACTCTATAGGGGAACAGATTAAAATGTTAAACAGATTATCGTCAATTGCCAACATTATCTTGACAGTTGACTTCACGTGCATTTATAATTATGTCTAAAGTGCCAGTATTAAGCACCTCATTCATGCCAACCTCTTTGGAAGGAATTCGTTTTGGTTTTTTTTGTGACGAAAGCACCTAAAATGTTGGACGTTCAGCCGACATTTAAGCGGATATATATTTATTAAGAGAACTTTGGCTTTTTGTTAACCGCATAACGATAAATTTGCGTTTCATTTTATATTACTACTAATAATATACATATAATTTGGAACATTTGACACTTTCGTATAGCAACATATATCTTCGATACTAATATTGGATGCTTGCGTCGTATCGCGTTGTGTGTACACACACAGCGATTAATCGGCGACGCGAGTCGTCTATTCGGTTTGTACAGGCTTAGCGCCTACATAGCAATTTAATCATGACGATATTGGTTGACTGGCTTTAGCGATGACATATGCAAATGACCACGCGTGTGTCTAAAATCTAAATCTCTAAACCCATCTCTCTCTCCATTAAAATCGAGTTTCTTAATGGAGAGAGAAGGTTTCGAAAATTTATATCGCCTTCTACGAAGGGCGTTTTAATGATTTTTTAATGCAAGATACTTTGCTATTCGACTGAGACAGTTAACAGTAAAAGAACTTAGCTAGCTTTTACAACAATTACTAAGTGTTTTAAGTATATTTAACAATCACTACATCTTAAAATTATTAGGATTCAATGAATTTAACGTAGATTAAGATCGTGTGAACAATCATTGGCTTTTATAGTCGAATTTAATAGAAATAAAAAATTATACTTTATAAACAATTTTAATTTAACACCAGACATGCTTCTTTCGTTAATTTTAAAACAGAAAGTTTCAGAAAAGAAATCCATAGATAATAAATGAAACCAGCCAGTGACATGGGTAATAATAATTTTAATTAAATTCGACTATACAGTTAGAGCGCGCGTACATCTTTTACAAAACTATCGCACAACTATTTAGTCGCGCTTTGATTCTATGAGCTTACGCACACAACTCGATTTTTAGTTGTGCAAAGTTGAATTGGCTGCGAAACAATCGGCAATCGCACAAGAGTTGTGCGACAGTTTATTTGACATTCCATATTATTACAAACATTAATAAAATGAAAATTATTAAAAAATAATTATGTTTTAGAGAATTACATATTGTTTACATCTAGTTTTTTTTTTATTTTAATCGTTTACATAAATATGAAAAAGTTAATTCGTTTAAGTAATAAAGATTCAGAAAAGTTTAACTAGGACTATTTATGTTATGGACATTTTAAACCAACCTTGTCCTATGTTATAACCGTTACAGTTTTATATACAAAATATTTACAATCTTATAATAATTAAGGTGAAATAACTATGATAAAACATCAAAAATTATATTTCTCGATATTTTAACTGGAGATACAATGTAAATTATATCTATTATTTCTCTGTACTGGGGCTCGTTATGGTATAGACGCAATTTTCACAAATAAGGACGTATTTACTTGATCTTAATAAACCTATGACAAACTATATGTGGGCGTGTTGTGCCCCGCTGAGAGCATCTTTTGCGCAAAACGACTTAGGTTTGTTCTTTTTTTAAATTGTTTCTTTTTTAATTCGATTCTGGTATCGTTTCATTTTGTAAATTGCCATATACACGTTTTTGTAAGTTATTTTATAAGATACTGGTTTAATTAAATATTTTTACAAATAGTAGTTATCATCACTCACTGGGGCTAAGTATAAAAACAATATATTTGTTATCTGTATGTTGGTAAAATATTTTCTTTTCCGAAACGTCTCTAAAAAGTTTTTTTTTTTAGATAAATATATTTAGAACCATTGTAACAATTACTACCAACGTTACACTTAATTAGAAATTCTATAAATTAATTTTAGTTTTGATTTAATTAATTTTAATTGATTACATTTTTACTATAGAATTTTTATATGAGATCATTTTTTATATAATTTAGACAACTATCAAACCACAAATGTGTTTCGGAAACAAAACTGGATTGTTAAGGATTCACCATTACGAGTTGTTTGGTCACTCCTGAGCCACTTAGTATAAATTTAATGTGAAATATTATATTGACAACTATGTTTTAAATTGAAAAAAAAAATGCTCACTATTTTCAATCATACAATTTCGTCTTTTTTTTAATTGCACGTGGATGAAGTCGCGAATAACTGCTTGTATTGTGATGAAGTAAATTTCAATAAAACTTAATGGTTTAAAATTTTAGATCATGTCTTAACAATAGAGAAATAGCGAGAGTAAAATACGAAAACCAATTCTACTCGTTCTATTTTTGCCTTTTGACCTACAGTAATAACTGTACACTTCGACTGTTCATTGAAAACTCTCAGAACTGAGGTTCTGTAGCGGTTTCTAAAATTTTATACTTAGGAATATTTAGTTCCTAGCTGTTGCCCACGACTTCGTCCGCGTGGTATTAGCAAACAGACGAACAATGTAAATAACGTGTCCCTTGGGAACCGGGCATTTTTCGGAGATGAACCTTATCCCATGTGTGCTCCAGAATTTGTTTTATATCTGTACCAAATTGAAATTAATGCATCCCACGGGAACTGTTCCTATTTCCGGCATAAAAAGTAGCCTATGTGTTCTTCCAGACTATCCTCTACATCTGTACCAAATTGCATCAAATCCTATTTCCGGCATAAAAAGTAGCCTATGTGTTCTTCCAGACTATCCTCTACATCTGTACCAAATTGCATCAAAATCTGTTCAGCCGTTTAGGCTAAAAACTCTTACAAACATCCATCTATCCATCCGTCCATCTAAACTTTTGCATATATAATATTAGTATGAAGTACGATAACACCATTAGTTATTATTTAGTGTGGTACACCGCTAGAGGTAGACCTAGAAAGAGAAGGGAGTGATGTCTGAGATGACGGATGATAGAGTTATGTGTATGACAAAAACCTGTTGCACCGACCGAAGATGATGACATAAGTAAAGAATATTTCCTTCTCAGGGAATTGAAAGCGAACAAGTTTTTGGTATAAAAAGAACATTTTAATCAAGGATTTACCACAAAATAACCTTGTAAGACTATATATCAAATTACATAAGGGCGGAACCGGTATCGCTCCGCCCGGCCGCGCATGCGCGAGTCTTATCTAATAGTGTTGCCAAAATACAACAAATTACTGGCAAAAATATAACGAAAAATAACAGGGTATAATGCAAATAATTTCTCATTAAATTATAATCGACTACCGTGAAACACTTTTAATCAAAACATTATGTAATCGTATGTAACTTATAATCTGTACTAATACTATATAGTGGAAAGATTTTTATTTTTGTATTTGTTTCACGTACAACTACTAGGCCGATTTTGAAAATTCTTTTATCATTAGAAAGGCTAAAGTCGCGGGCAACGGCTAGTGTTATATAAACCGCATATCGATCTCGCCAATACCTTATCGGATACCGAAATTTTCCAAATCATTTTATATTCACAAACTTCAGAAAACTAAAAAACAACAGTTACGTTTGTTTGTTGACATCGGTAATTTATTACAGCTGGTAATTATCAGGGTGAAATAAATATTATGAAGTAAGATTTCATTTGATAATCCGGATACTCCTCAGTTCATCACATCATCACCAGCTTACTATACGTACTGAGGGCCTCGAAGATTACCCTAAGTAAGTGTGACTAGGCGATAGTCAACCACGCTGGCCCACTGCGAGTTGGTTGACTTGACTTATATCTTAGAATTTCTTGTCCGATATGTGCAGGCATCACGATGTTTACGTTCACCGTAAGAACGACGGGTAAATTATGTAAATATGAATATTCTAAATATCGAAAATCACATTGGTACAGCGGGATTCGAACCCAAAACCTGTAGATTACAAGTCAAGTTCTTAAACCACTGAGCCTGCTCTGAAACTCCTCAGTTATGAAATATTAATTTTATCAATGGCCAAGTACGAAACCTTACGTGGCTTGTATCGAACGCGTGACGTAAGTAGATCCAGTATTACTATGTCTTCACTTTAATCTAACTGTGGAATATGTATTACATGCAAGCAGTCGCCATCGATTTAGTCTGCGCGGCATTACCAAAATTAAAAAACGTAATTAGTACCCTATGTGTTCTACACTATATTCTATGCTAAATTTCAGGACCGTTAGGAATGCTGTAGGCACGTAATAACAAACATTCATCCATCCAAACTTTCATATCTTATATTACTAACAATAAAAATGCGATAGTTTAGATGGATGAATGTTTGTTAGTTTGTTGCCTAAACTACTGAACGGGAATCAATAAACATTTGGCATAGATGTAGAGGATAGTCTTGAAGAACAAATAGATTACTTATTTTTTTTATTCCACCCAGACGGAGTCGCAGGTTAAATCTAATAATATTAGTAAGCTATTAAGAAGTGACATATTATTGTCTTTCTTTCTCTCTATAAATTAATGTTCAATGAGCTCATAGACTGCTTTTAATATTTTGACTTTAAATATTTCTTTAGCTAAGGGAGAACTCTTTTTCGATCCCTATTATTAAATCCTTATTGACATTTTAATAGTGAATAATGCATTTATTGACCAGTAACGTGCCTAATATATTGTGTCACATGCCAATGATTCCATCCCTGCACTATTCGATTCATATCTCGCTATCTCTCAATAATGCAAAACAATATGCATCTCTTTTAAATCAAGTACAATAGAAAGGGCTAGAAAACTATTCGCCTTTGTTATAATTTATTTTATCACAATTGCGACCATATTTATAGGCTAAGTGTAGCCAGCTACAACTCGATGAGGTGTTCTTCCTCCAAAAATTGACTACTTTAGTTATTTATTATTTACAATTAAACATAGCCTTGTCAGGCTAGGATTAGGCAACCCAGTTACATGTTTAAAAAGATGTGCTCTTTCATATAATATAGGTTTTATCAGAAAATCTGATAAAGAAAGGTCATCACTAGTGTTTATCCCTAACTATTATCTATTATATTTTTGCATAAACATATTATGACTTCAGTCATGGTATTTGGTATGTAAAATAAAATTGTTCGTCCCTTTACATATCTTAAAGTGAAATGAAAACGGAAAAATAAAACTTTAAGGCCCTAGCACACAACCGCGAAAGCTAATAGGAACCGAAGCGAAGCGTTACCAAATAATGAAAAAACGGGAAAATTCCGTGTGTTTAATTCACGTTAGATTATATTTTCCACTGAAAGAACGGTTGTTAAATTGTTCGTTTGAGATAATAATAATGCCATATTCATAACAATTACGGGTTCGCTTCGATGCCGCTTCCTATGTAGTGTGGCACAGGCCTTTATCAATTACCATTTGGAATATCTTAATATTACTATTATTATAATGTTTCGCTATACAACGCTGTCATAAAATTATTCACTCTATTTGTGTAATTCGACTCGTTAAAAATAGACAAAAAATTATATAAAAACTATTAGGTACTAAGTAAATCCCGTAAGTTACACGTAACATATATACAAAAACGATTGTATGTCTATACAGATCTAACACTATGGTATTTTGTAGTCCGGAATTCGCACTTAAGAGTGGTTACGCACTCGCGCACAAGGGTGGTGTTGCACTCGCGGTTAAGTGTGCTAACACATTGGTGCGTAAAGTTGTCCCAAACGCGCCGGCCGCAGCCCCGTTTAGGAATCGCCGGCACCTTCCGCCGAGCTCGAAGTCGACGGGGGCTCGGTGGGATCGGGCGCCGCCTGAAAAATAAGAAAAAGAAAATCAAATCTGCATACTGTTCTTGCGACAGACAATCTTGAACCTGTTTTTAATTGAGATGAATCTTGTACGAAATTCTTATACAATTTTATTTTGTTTCAATCAAGATACAGAGATTACTAAAGTATAGTAAATATTTTTGTACGTAAAATGTTACATTTCGACTTGAAATCCGTTAACTGCCGCACTCGGGTTCACACGATTCGTTAATCGATATTTGATGGTAATTGTGAAATAAAAAAAAACGATTTCTTATAAAAATGCACGGTAATTAACAAAAAGATTACAAACTGAGCTGTCAAATTACGGCAATGTTGCCAATTTACAAATTATGGTTGCGTTCTTACTGTCGCTAACAATTGGTCACTACAGTTTGTCTAAATAAAATAGATTAGTTTGATAAATGACACATATGAAATATCGAATTCAATTTGTGTGAAAGCAAATGTCATACTTAATAGACAGGTATCGTAGTGACGAAAAAAACACGCATAGCGAACAATTTTGACCTATCGATATTCGGTTTAAATAATTATCGAACTCAAATTATTATTTTCTTATTAACTAATTTATAGAACAATTCTAGTATTGATTGTAATGTAGAGAATTTAGCGATGACAGAAATAATAGCCAAATCCAATTCGATTACGTACGGCTGTAGTAGTAATAAACATTTATTTACACTCATTATTTGTTATGGTCATTATTAATTTGAGAAAACATTTAATAACAACAATAGCGACACTTCAACATTTTTGAACCCGTCGACATCTCCGTCGCCGAAGCACGAAGCGGCCACAACGCTCTTGGCGCGCGAACAAAAGTTAAATAATACTCGCCCTGAAGAAGGATCCCCGAAGGATCCGAAACTAGTCGGTGCCGTCACCGGAGGAAAAAAGCGTGACTTGAGCCGTTTTTAATTAATTTTCGCTTAAAGTAATGTCTCACGATAGTTTAAACAATTTAATTGAGAAAACAGTGTTTTTTTTAAATTCATAAGTTATAACTATAAATCTATCGATTTCAACTTCTATAAGAATAAAAATCGAAAATCGATAAGATTCATGACTAATTACAAAACCCATCCCTACTAAATTTGAAATGAATTGTCAAACTAATCTAAATTATTTGGACACACTATAAGGGTACCTTTGTCTAAATATTCCATACAAAATTTTTACTATTTGGTCACTTTGAGTATGGCAATATGTTATCTGTTAACAGATTAAAATTTTATGTAATACTAGCTGTCGCTCGCGACTCCGTGCGCGTGGAATTAAAAAAAAATGTGAGTAGCCTATGTTTTCTTCCAGACTATCCCCTACATTTATGCGACATTTCATCAAGATCCGTTCAGCCGTTTAGACTACAAAGTTAACAAACATCCATCCATCCATCCATTGTAACTTTCGCTTTTATAATATTTATTATATTATATATATTATGAAAAGAAAAATTTGGGTTGTTCATAGCGATTTCTTTTTAAATTCTTGTCTGTCTGTGTGTCTTATTCTTGTTCGCATTTGTTTTGGTTAATTTCGAATCGATATCATAGGCTACCTATTTAATTCCACGCTGAGGATGTCTCGAGAAACATTAAAAACATATTCATAATTATCTTTTTATATAAAATATTGGTGACGTTTGATGTTTATACGTTTCCACTCGATATCTAGAAAAGCATCAACGCAAAGGTATGACAAGAAGTAAGAGTTGCAATTTTTAATTGGCATTAATTATTGTATGTTGGCATGGCAACATATAAGCGAGACCTTTACTTCGATGCGTGTCCGCGACACGGAACATAGTCGGTGCTGGAACTGACATCGCTAAATTAACAAATAGTGATAATATAAAACTAGATGTTCCCGTGCGACTTCATCCGCATAAAAATATGAAAATTTTATGTTATTGTTTACATGTGTCAAATTATCAATTGTAAATGTCAAAATTACATGATGATGACAAACCATCGCAACCTTGCTTCCTTGATGTTGGCAGCAACTTATGGTCTCTTTCCCACATTAGGGTTTTTAACCAAAATATTTAGCCCCTAAGTTTAATGCCGTGAATATATAGGCTAAAGCGTAACGTAAGTGTAAGGATTTTTATTAAAAAAGGAATTATTCAAAAATATGCTGTAATTGCTGACATCTTAAGCAACAAAGAAGTGTGTGTTTACGCTTTATTATATTAGTAAGTAAAGTAAGTAATAAGTAATAGATAGATATGAAGTAAAGATATATGGAATAATTAATATTGACGTATTTAAATGAGGATTATCAAATTTTGGTGTGGCTTATAATAATTAACACTTTAATTCACATACGTAGAAATCCCGAATATTATCTTTGAAAATAAAAAAGACGACTTGAGTCAATACTAGCTTTCGCCCGCGATTTCTTCCGCGCGGAATTAAAGAAAAAAAACTAATTAGTCTATGTGTTCTTTCGAACATTCATCCTTTAACAAATATACAAATTATTATGAAGAAGTAAGATTGAGAACAAATTCAAAGTGTTAAAATTGTTAAAAATATAATTAAAATATTAGTGTTAATTTTACTTGTTCGGTTAATATTGGATTTAAAGCCCTTACTCGATTTCTAATCTGCAATGTCCACCATAACGCAGTCACGAAACCCTACTAAAGACCCAGATTAACTCGGCACTTTATATATCTAGCTTTCGCCCGCGACTCCGTTTGTGTGGAATAAAAAGAAACAAAAGTGAGTATGTGTTCTTCCAGATTATCTCATCAGAAATCCTTTCAGCCGTTTAGGCTACAAACTAACAAAAATCTATCAATCCATCAATCCATCCATCTAAACTTTTACATTTATAATATTACGAGCTGTTGCCCGCGACTTCCTCCGCGAGGTATTCGAAAACATACAAACTATATAAATTACAAAAAGCTACGTATCCCTCGGGAACCGAGCTGTTGCCCGCGACTTCCTCCGCGAGGTATTCGAAAACATACAAACTATATAAATTACAAAAAGCTACGTATCCCTCGGGAACCGGACGTTTCTCGGGGATGAAGCTTATCGCATGTGTACTCCAGACTTTGTTTTATGTCTGTGCCAAATATGTTAAACCGTTGCAGAATGATCGAGTAAACATTAAAAAACTAAATTAACGAATCCCACGGGAACCATAACTATTCCCGGGATAAAAAGTAGCCTATGTGTTCTTACAGACTATTCTCTAAATCTGTGCCAAATTTCATGGAGATCCTTTCAGCCGTTTAGGCTACAAACGCTAGCAAACCTCCATCCATCCATCTTAACTTTCGCATTTATAATATTAGTAAGAAGTAACATTAGTAAGATGTAAGATTTCAGCAATCACAGTATATTTTTGAATAAAAAGCCCTACACTGACGACATGATTTAGGCTATATACCTTTTCATGTTATTAAACTTAGGGGACTAATAAATTGGGAAAATACGTTGTGAGGGAAAGGGACGAAAACAACAAACCAATAGCAGCGAAGAAGCCAGTTTGCCATGGTAACGGTAATTGTTCGCAAAGGGCAAAGTTGTTATTTGAGCATTTGTATTTTGACCTTTGCAAATGAACGGATTATGTACATTAGACTTTTTATAATTTTATACGGATGAAGCCGCACGGGAACAGCTAGTTACTAATAATATAAAAAGAAAAGATTTGTATTTTTGCATGTATTGAAATAACTCACTAAACAGCTTTGCCATTTTTTTTAAATTCTTTCACCATTAGAAATGTTATTTATCTGTGAGTAACAGCTATACTTTTTATATTCGGACGAAGTCGCGAGCACCGGATAGTATGCAAAGTTATATAGTCTCTTCCAGTATGGAATGAATCAACGACAGTAAATTGTCTAGAACGCGCCAGTAGTTGAAAAAGCCACTCAAGGAAACGAATAGGTTTTTTCTAAGCTGTTAACCCCTGTTATAAGTTCATACATACATCACTATAGTCCTCTTGTCGACTATTGGCATTTCACGCATTTAATAAAATGAATTAAAAAAAAATGTAGAATTATTATTCTTCAATTTTTTTAATACATTTATTTGAAATGAAAACATTATAATTGCAACAACAGTTGTATTACGATAGCCTGATATTAACTAATTATATAAATTATTCATAACTAGCTGTTGCCAGCGACATCGTTCACGCAATATTAAGATATAACGTAGCCTATAATATGCACTACTATTTCAGCTAGCGTTCTTCGTTATCAGTAACGCAAGTACATCATCTTCCCGAAATCTGGAATCTTTCTTTTTATATTACAAACAGACACTCCAATTTTATTATATATGTATAGAAGAGCTAATTATAATAACAGCCAGTATGGGTTTAAAAAACAATAACATATAATATTAAATCATAAGAAATGTACTAAATCGAATACTGCCTATAATTGTCGGTAATGAGTCCATTCTACTTTTTAAAAAACAAAAATTTGCAAAGACATTTAATGACAATAAAATGAGGATCCTACGACTGTTACTTCAAACATCACGTCGCGATTATCGAATAGTTATTTGCATTCTTCTGATATTAACTTACTTCTACTTAATATTATAAATGCCAATATATAGACGAATGTTTGTTACTACGTATCGCCATAACGGTTCAACAGATCTCGCTGAAATTCGGCACATACAACTAATTATGATTTTTGAATACCGCGCGGTCGGAGTCGCGGGCGACAGCTAGATATAACTAGCGATATTCGATACAATCGAGATAAATCGGTGAAGCGATCTCGGTCACAGGGCCAATGTAACACGGCGGCATATCGGACCGGATCGTTCGCTCGCACCAAAAGAAACTAATAAAACAATTACTCGTGAAGTCGTGAACAACAAAGTCGCAAACCTGTCAGCCAGGGTTGTACTCTGTTACTAACTGCAAAATAAATTATCTTTTTTTGTTTATTGTACTCATAGTGTCATGTAATTATGGCTGATAGAAATGCATGG